GTAAACAGATTTTATTTTTCTTATATTTTACAAATCACTCCCCTTTTAAACTGTATTCTTGTTTTGTCATATAGTATTTCATACCTGTTTTTCATTTATTCTCTCTGGCTGTCCATCTCATAATGTTCATATAGAAACTAGCTNATGAATCGCCGGCCCCGAACACACAAGCAGCGGTTTGATTGGCTAGAGCTTGTACTGGCATATGATTCGATTGGCTGACGCTTCCGCCGAAGCCTCAACAGTTGAACATTGCTCAACTTTTGCAGCGAGCCACGCGAGGCGACGCTCCCACAATGCAGTTCGGCAAACGTCACCCCATTCAAAGTGAATGGGCAAAAGCGTTGAAGCTTAAACGCACGCCGCCGTGTGGACGGGCCGTTACACAGCGTTAACTAGGAGTTATATATGCTAGTGATTAACAATATAAAACCAAATATCAGCACGCGTGTGACGTGTGGAGGAAAAGCTAAGACTTCAAAGAGTTCTGTCCTCGTTGAGTTTAGTTAATCACCTGAAAGGTAAACCTACCAACATGTCCACAAACTCATGACTGACCAAATGTCCCAAAGTTAAACAATCCCTCCCATGGGTCTGAATAAAAAGCTTCCCACAGTTCTCTCTTTTCTTATACTTGCAGTGAATTATATATGAAGTGCACAAGTTTATTTATAAGTGCAAGCTATGAATGTTCTGCAAGAGGAGTCCAGAACAAGAGGGACACACACTGCTAAGCATGAAGATAAGAACCTGTTCTTCTTCTTGCAGTAGACGAGCAGCTTGTCGAACAGGAAGAAGATTCTCTCCTGGATGTTTCCTGCAGAGATCTTCAGCAGGACGCCGTGCATGAGCATCTCCGTGCACGTGTCTGTGATGTTGGAGCCCTGCAGATGAACAGGAGGGGGAAATGTCAGACACAAGATGACCAGAACACCGATGATTACCAAGAAGACACAAAACGCTAAAATAAGAGAAGAAAACAACCAAAGATGCTTAACGACCAACAAACACAATAAATAACCCCAAATCTTATTTATTATCTATGTCAGGGGTTCCCAAAGTGGTTTGATCAAAAAACTCAAAAAATTGATTAATGTTTTGTATAATTCTTTTTTTAATTATCATTAATAATAACGTTTGCATAGACATTTCCAGGGGCGGACTAGCCATCTGTATGATTTCCCCGCAACGAGGCTCTCCCTTTGTTATCAATTCACTACGCAGTGTTTGTGCGGTTAAATGAAATTAATTCACTATAGCACCTCCTTCCCGCTTGTAGCAGTCAGAGCTTGAGTATTCTGGGTTTCCTCCTCTGAAAGGTACGAAGGCCAGTTTGCTTCCAACAGTATGGTAATGTATGGCCAAGAAGGCAAAGAAACACACATGTCTTACTTATTGACCTCAAGGTCTCCTATCACGCAAAAATGCACGTTTTGGATGTCTTGTGAGTGAGTATGTGGGTTGCGCCCCATGTGGAGCTAATCTTTTCTGAAATGCCAAAGTTCAGTTTACATATCTCACGTTTATACAGATCGGGGGTGAATACTGTCCCCTTCTCTTCCTCTCAGGGACTCTGTGGAAACACCTGCACTGCATTCTATGGACGCTAGTACCGGCGTGCATTTAATCAGTGAGGTGTTTCCCACAGAGTCTGAAGAGGAACCGAGAAGGAACTCATTCACACGATCTGTATAAACGTGAGATATGTAAACTGAACTTTGGCATTTCAAAAAGATTATCACATGGGGCGCAACCCAATACCTCAGCTCTTAAAGACATCAAAACGTGCATTTTGCGTGATAGGAGACTTGAGGTCAATAAGTAAAGGACATGTGTGTTTCTTGCTTCTTGGCGATACATCTCATACTGGTTGGAAAGCATGCTTGATACTTCAGAGGAGGAAACCCAAATACTCAGCTCTGCTGCTACAAGGGGGGGGGGCTAGTGAATTAATTTCAGTTTTCCGCAAAACACTGCGCTATGTGGATTGTCAAAGGGAGAGCCTCGTTGCGGGGAAATCATACAGATGGCTAGTCCGCCCCTGGAAATGTCTATGCAAACGTTATTATTAATGATAATTAAAAAAAGAATTATACAAAACATTAATCAATTTTTTGAGTTTTTTGATCAAACCACTTTGGGAACCCCTGACATAGATAATAAATAAGATTTGGGGTTATTTATTGTGTTTGTTGGTCGTTAAGCATCTTTGGTTGTTTTCTTCTCTTATTTTAGCGTTTTGTGTCTTCTTGGTAATCATCGGTGTTCTGGTCATCTTGTGTCTGACATTTCCCCCTCCTGTTCATCTGCAGGGCTCCAACATCACAGACACGTGCACGGAGATGCTCATGCACGGCGTCCTGCTGAAGATCTCTGCAGGAAACATCCAGGAGAGAATCTTCTTCCTGTTCGACAAGCTGCTCGTCTACTGCAAGAAGAAGAACAGGTTCTTATCTTCATGCTTAGCAGTGTGTGTCCCTCTTGTTCTGGACTCCTCTTGCAGAACATTCATAGCTTGCACTTATAAATAAACTTGTGCACTTCATATATAATTCACTGCAAGTATAAGAAAAGAGAGAACTGTGGGAAGCTTTTTATTCAGACCCATGGGAGGGATTGTTTAACTTTGGGACATTTGGTCAGTCATGAGTTTGTGGACATGTTGGTAGGTTTACCTTTCAGGTGATTAACTAAACTCAACGAGGACAGAACTCTTTGAAGTCTTAGCTTTTCCTCCACACGTCACACGCGTGCTGATATTTGGTTTTATATTGTTAATCACTAGCATATATAACTCCTAGTTAACGCTGTGTAACGGCCCGTCCACACGGCGGCGTGCGTTTAAGCTTCAACGCTTTTGCCCATTCACTTTGAATGGGGTGACGTTTGCCGAACTGCATTGTGGGAGCGTCGCCTCGCGTGGCTCGCTGCAAAAGTTGAGCAATGTTCAACTGTTGAGGCTTCGGCGGAAGCGTCAGCCAATCGAATCATATGCCAGTACAAGCTCTAGCCAATCAAACCGCTGCTTGTGTGTTCGGGGCCGGCGATTCATGTGATTGGTTGTTGGTCGAGCTTCAGACACGCCCACCGACAAGCTTCAACGCACGCCGCTGTGTGGACGTTAGTTAAGGGTTAGGGTTTTTATATTGCTCTGCAGGAAATATCCACAGAGCAGAAGATATACATATACAGAGTTGACCAAAGTGCTGTACATCAATACGTATATAAAAAGCAGCATAAATACATTTAGACAAAACCGATAGGACAGAAAACTAATGTAAAAACACGTGACAATAAAACCATATTTATATCCACAGACTG